GATGACTGGCAAGGCATCTGTATTAACACAGAAGAAACAAGAAAATGAGATCTTGTAGTTTCTTACAACATTATACTTTCAGCCAACTTTGGAATAAATATTTGGGTGTTTCATATACACTCTGCTATTTGGGGACATCTGAGGACATTTGCACATGAAAGATTATACCAAATTATGACACGCAAATATTTTTCAGGCAAAATTTACCTTTTCCATATGGTTGGCAAACCATACAACTTTCTGTTTCTTCATACAAAAGAACGCCACCCAAGGAAGCAGGAAGGGAGATAAAGGGAGGAACTTTCGCGTTCCCAGCACAAAAATCCAGCAGAAAAGGCAGACAGAGGTCCGCACTGCGCATAGGTGGTGCCGAGAACCACATGGCTTTCTTTATTCTTGGAAAATGGTCTCAAATGAGTCGAGGACATGAGGGGAATTGTGGCTAGCTGAGTACAAAGTTCATTACTCTCTGCAAAGCGAATGCCTTTGAGTTATATTAGTCGTTGAATTCCTTTTCCTCTAAGGGCCTCATTTGGCCTCTAATTCTCTTTCTCAATACTGCCCTCCTCTTCCTTTCTTAAAAAAACGTTGCCTATTCATTGTGAGGCTCTTATGCAAGGAGAATAGACAGAGGTGAAGGGGCTGGGTTGGGGGACAGGGACCCAGAGGGGAGCTGTACCCCAGAGAAGGGAGGGCGGCTCTCCCACAGAATACGTAGACACTTAAGAGTCTGCTGGCTGGAGGACTTTTTTTTTTAACATCAAATTAGGTCTGAGAATTCATCTCTATTTACTGGACTTTGCAAAATTAGTTGACAGGTTAGAAAAATTTCTTAAAATTATGTTTCCCTGAAAATATGAAGTGACTGTGGCCCCTAGGACAATAAACCACAGTAGTTAATGACGAGGCTTTTTTTTTTCAGCAGTATGAGAAACTAGCCAGCTAGAAGAGAACAATTTCGTAGTTTTGATGCAGTCTGTGATTGCTGAATAACCTTATTTTGATTTGCTGCTTCACACAATGTGGGCTTTCAAGCCATGAAGAGCCATAGCAAAGAGTTTTTGGGACATTTTGCCTCTTTATTCATGCTCTAAATCCCATCCCTCCCCTACCCCACTCCTCTATTTCCTCCATCTGGCTTTGAATAGCTAAAGTGTGCCCACAATATGTACACACTAGACAAGTTATGTCCTTTACCAAAAGCACCTGGCAGCCTCCCCAGTCCCCTATGGAGATGGACTTAAACTCCGACTGAAAAGCACCCACTTGTAATTTTTTTTTCTGATAACTTTAACAAGAACAGTCTGGTATAAGAAATGTCTAGTGAGTGATTCTTAATAAGGCCTTTTCAAGGGGCAAGAAGACAAAGCCTCTTGGGATTTGCTGAGCTTTCCATTCGTCTTTCTCCTCCTACTTGCTTGCGCCCCTTCCCTGGTTGGCAGCATCACCCGGTGAAATTGCTCTTTCCCGGATAGACCAGTGGATGGAGATGGCATCTTTAATTGATCCTAAATCTAAGCCTGGAAATAGACGTTGTGATCACACAACTAGCAACCACACAGGTCAGGAAAAGGGGGAAGTCAGCTGTTACATACAGAGAGGTTAAGAACTGCCTGGTGTTTTTGTGGGACCGGAAAGTCTGTCCTTCTCAAGAGATGGTCACAGAAGAACACTGTCAGTTTCTCCTGCCAGATGAAGAAAGGGTGTAACGGTAACCTTTTGTCTGAAACAAACCAAACCCGGTAAAGTCCCTGAAACAATAGTCATGAGATCCTGGGCAACAGAAGGTTCAGGTGACCAAAAACTGGTAGGAACTGTCTGGGTTAGAAGTTACAGTTTGGGCCACATGCAGAGACCTCCAAGTGCTTATTTGATGTGCGTGTAAAATGTTGATTCCTGCCCAGTGGATACTGGGAATCTTGGGGTACCTCACTCTCATCTTGTTAGACAAGACTCCTCCCTAAATCTGTGAACCATGGTTCCCTGAGAAATCCTTAAACAAGAAACCCCTGCCTCTGTTTAGTTTTTGTACGGATGACTCTTAGGACCAATCCCATATAAATGAAGATGA